GTCTTAAAATGTCTTAAATTCGGATTCGATGGGTCTTAAATATTTTTGGTCACATTACGCTAAAATATCTTCAGTCTGACGGACCTAATGACTTTAATGACTTTACAATCATTGGACAGACCGAATATTTTTTCTTCCCACCATATTGCCTGTTTTTGCACTATTTTGCCAACAGAAATTATTCCAAACAAAGCCACAGCGCTGTTTTGCGTCTTTGAGCAACATGACAGCGTTTTGTTCCTGAATGAATCAACCGTTTAAGATACCAGCATGATAACACACTCAATCAGTTGAATGAATGACCCAATGACTCACTCATCAAGTGACTTACCATCACTTACTGGTAGTTTAGTTGAGAAGTATGTTGAAAAGTATGCATTTGTCCCTCAACATTTCTTATTTGTATATTCATAAATGCATTTAAAACATTAATCTTATAACATTATTTATTGCAGTTGTAATTATTGTTATTTGCAGTGTAAATTATTTAATCTGACTGGTAGCAGCCCTATAGTGTATTTCAAACATAATAAACACTTTTTTCACACTTCCGCTGACTGTGGTACGCGGAAGACATGCAGACGGATGACGTAGGACGTTGTGCGCGTGCCTCTGAGAAATGCAGGAGCAAAGGAAGCAAAGTTTCCTTACTTTAACAAAGGAAAACCAGTCTCCTCTTGGCTTATATCGAAATCCTCATTTTGTGCTTCTAATTCGTGAATTGTTTTGCGATTTGTTTTGTTCTCTCTTTGCGTTCGTCACTAATCACGCAACGCCGACGTCCTACGTCATCCGCCGGAACGGCTGCCGCGTATGACAGAATACCGGAAGTGAGAGAAAAATGTTTATTACGTTTGAAATATGGATATATTTATCTTACAAAAACGCATGGATTCGCTACAGGAGGCCTTTATTCACCCCCCGGAGCCGTGTGAGGGACGTTTTATTATGGATGCGTGCACTGTATTTCACGTCTTCTGAACTGTTGACAAACGAAAACCCGCTTACCCCCATTGAAAGGCTTGGAGGGGCCAGGACAATTTTTAAT